AGGCAGAAAATTCAAGGGCCGAATTAAAGCAGCCCATGCAACTTAACATCCCCTGTGAAGTAAAGAGCTGGGGGAGGGGGGGGGAACCCTCCACCAATCCAGGCAACCCCATCCTTTTATCCCAGGTCTCTGAAAAGCCACATTCAAACTAAGCCGGTTGGGAAAGGCCAGCTAAGCTGTATGCAGCTGGCTGACCATTTCCAAAATCAGAGCCCTTGTTGCAACCGCGACGCCCTTCTGGGCTCCCTTTCCAGGCGGATCTGAGCCCCGCTTGTCTCCCTGGCGCCTGCGCTCGCTTACACTTCCTCGGGTGCGTAATCCATCTCCTCGTCTTGGTCCCGCTTGCGCTTCCGCATCGTGTCGTCCACGGGAAGGAAATAGGCCACGAACTGGTTGCCCTCTTCATCCATCATGCCCCTGGAGGCCGAGGGAAAGGGGGAGAGAGGCGCCATCAGCTCCCTGCTTTGGACGGAACCGCCACCGGGCCAAGCAAAACCTTTGCAGGCACCAGCGGATAGAAGGGGGAAGGCCGGAGGTGAGGAAAGGGAAGCAGAGTCTTAAAGGGGCTGGGCTGGGCCCACGGAGGTCCGGAAAAGCCCGCCTCTGAGGAAGGGCCAGGGGTCAAGGCACAAGGAAAGCCAGCTTGGCCGGGGGGTTAAGGTGCCAGGCTAGAAAGTGGGAGACGGAGAGTTCTAGTCCGGCCTTAGCCACGAAAGCCAGACGGGTGACTTTCGGCCAGTTGCTCTCTCCCTCAGCCCAACCCACCTCACAGGGTTGTTGTGGGGAAAACAGAAGGAGAACAATGTGTTGGATATGTTCATTGCCTTCTTTGTAAAAATAAAGGTGAGATACTAAAAAAATAAAATAAAGATAAAACACCCCAGGGCTGGCTTTCCCTCTCCCTACTTTATAAATAAACCGGGGTCTCACCTAATCATGGCTTGTGACATCATATCCAAAGCTGCTGCCCCGCTGGTGTCCTTGGGCGCTGGATCAGAGTCAAAAATGACCTGAGCACAGGGGTTGATCCACATCTGGCAGGGAGGAGAGAGAGAGGGGTGGGTGGGTGGAGACTGAGAACAGCAGCTCAGAGCCCAGCGAGCCCTTCCAGGGAGGGGCCCCTCCCCCCACCCACCGGCTCTTCTCGGGGGCCACCCTGCTGTCCCCTTACCTTGAAGTCAGGAAAGACCGGCATGACTTCCATTGGGGTAACGCGGGGTTTGCTGTAGTGCTGAGAAATCTGGGGAGGGGGGCAGAGTTCCCCATTAGGAGACACCCCAGGAAGAGGGAACACAGCCCCCCCCCTTGTTGTGCCGGAAAGCTGTAGCGGAATGTAGGCTCTGCAAAGCTCTCTTCGCCCCCCCCTCACCCACCCCCATTTAAACCATCAATACCAATGGCTCGAGAAAGCTTCTACGGCAGGGGGGTCCAACCTTGGCAACCTGTGGACTTCAACTCCCAGAA